TCTCTGTAATTTTGTCGAACTTGGCAGCTTTTTTGTACTCCTCAGCGTTTTTCTTTTTGTTGCTGTATGTTCTTGTCAGGTGAGGTTAAAAGGACAGTTGACTGCAACACAACTGGAGATACTGTGAAGACTATAAATTACACTACCTCACAAGTCCTATTCATGTTTTAGGAACAACAAATAATAACTTGACTTCTAGTTTATCATTTGGTATCAGAAGTGGCTTATATGAAAGGCAAAGGCCTTAAGATTCCACATATTTTAACAAAATAAAATGTGATCATGCCTTGATTTTTAATTATTTAATTAGAACATAAAGGTCTGACTTTGCTTAGACAAAAGTCTTGTCACTTAACAGAAATAATGTACAGTATAGCATATGAAGTCATGGTGCAGGGGAAAAAGAAAGAATATTGTGTGTGACTCCCATGAGCTTGGATAGCTGCATCCATACATCTTTACAATTACTCAAATCACTTAATAATAATAATAATAATAATAATAATAATAATACTTTTTATTTATAGGGACCTTTTAAAGCCCTCAAGGACACCTTACAGTATGTCACAGGCACATTATAAAAACAAGACAGAAGAGTAATAAAACATAGTATTAATCCAGAAAATCACTAAAAGTAATCCTGAACAGAAAGGTTTTAACCTGGGATTTAAAATTGGAGATTTGAATGAATATCTGATGAATATCTAACAGCAAGGAATTCCATAACTGTGGTGCTATGCAGCTAAAAGCCCTGCCACTTAACGTTTTAATCTTAAAATTTGGAACTGACAACCGTTCAGCTGCAGAACATCTCAATGAGATTCAAAGAGTGTACCAGTGAAGAAGAGCAGAGAGGTTATCAGGTGCAAGGTTGCGAAGAGCTTTGTAAGTTAATAAAATAATTTTATATTGTATACACTTATATTGTATACACTAATTAATAAAGTCATCTGGAATGGCAAAGAAAGCGTTCTAGGATTCAACTTTAATGCCTCCTCCATCTTACCCCAGACATGTTCAATAATGTTCATGTCTGGTGACTGGGCTGGCCAATCCTGGAACACTTTGACCTTCTTTGTTTTCAGGAACTTTCATGTGGAGGCTGAAGTATGAGAAAGAGCGCTTTCTTGCTGAAGATTTTACCCTCTTCTGTGGTTTGTAATGTAATGGGCAGCACAAATGTCTTGATTCCTCAGGCTGTTGATGTTGTCATCCACTCTGCGAATCTCTGGCACAGCCCCATACTGAATGTAACCCCAAACCATGATTTTTCCTTCATCAAACTTGACTGGTTTCTGTGAGAATCTTGGGTCCTTGTGGGTCCCAATATGTCTTCTGTGGTATTTGTGGTGATTGTGATACAGTTCAACAGTTCAAATTGACCTTGCCACTTTTCCAAATGATAAACTAGAAAACTAGAAGTCAAGTTATTATTTGTTGCTCTTACAACTAGCATTACAACTAGACCTTTTAGGTAGTTTACATATACCTATGTGAGGCTGTCCAGTATTTATTGTTTATAATAATGCCTTTTCACTCACTTTGGTAAAAACTAGCTAAAACAAATTTTAACAAGTGTGTAAAAGAGTTAAATGCTTGATGAAGCCTGTTAGGTTGACCTAATAATTCCATGGATGAAAGCAAATAAATATTCCGTTTTTTGTTTTTAATTTTTATAGAATAGGAATGAGTTACGATTTAGAAATGGTTATGTTCATTTCTCTGTTTCGCCAATCAAAAAAGGTGCAGACAAATTTGGAGTAGAGCATTAATGTGTATAAGAAAAACAATTTCATTCATTCATTCATTTTCCTATGGCTTAGTCCCTTTATTCATCAGGGGTTGCCCTTTACTTCTCCAGCATATTTTAAAATTGCGGATGCCCTTCCAGCTGCAACCCAGTACTGGGAAACGACACACTCCCACATGCACACACATACACTACAGCCAATTTAGTTTATTCAGTTCACTTATAACGCATGTCTTTGGACTGTGGGAAAACCGAAGCACCCGGAGGAAACCCTTGCCAACTCGAGGAGAACATGCAAACTCCACACAGAAATGCCAACTGACCCAGCCAGGACTCAAACCAGCAACCTTCTTGCTGTGAGGCGACAGTGCTAACCACTGAGCCACCATGTCACCTAGTCATTTTGAACAAATAGTTTTAATTAAGTGAGTCACTTAAGAACAGCAACTTGATAGGCCTACATAAATAAATGAAGAAACATTTTTGGTCAAAATCACACGCCCCTTATTATGGGATCTTGTTATTTTTTTATAATTAGTGAGCAGGTACTGAAAAATAATAAATAATGCAATAAGTACTTTAAAAATGGCCATTGAAACTGTATTTTAAGCCTTTGAAGTCAAACAATAACTTTGTGTGAAGAGTAGACCAAAACTGACTCTCATCTAAAACATCTCGACATCTACTTTAGTGTGCAGTGTGTAAATTCATTGTTTTGTGTTGGAGCTTTTCATTTAATTAGTTGATCTGGTTCATATAACTGGATTAAATTGGGCCAGTTCTAAAATTAAACCATTCTGTATCTAGATTTAACTGTATACTGTACATTCATTTACTCATTTAAATTGTACTTTTGACAGTTGTTTTCATGGAATATGCAATATTCATTCATTCATTCATTTTCTTTTCGGCTTAGTCCCTTTATTAATCTGGGGTGACCACAGCGGAATGAACCGACATCTTATGCAGCATATGTTTTATGCAGCAAATACCTTTCCAGCTGCAACCCATCAATGGAAAACACCTATACACTCTCATTCACACACATACACTACGGACAATTTAGCCTATCCAATTCACTTATAGCGCACTACTTTGGACTTGTGGGGGAAACCGGAGCAGTCGGAGAATACCCACACCAACATGGGGAGAACATGCAAACTCCACACAGAAATGCTAACTGACCCAGTCAAGGCTCGAACCAGCGACCTTCTTGCTGTGAGGCGATTGTGCTACCCACTGCGCCACAGTGAAGCCCGGAATGTGCAATATTGTTCTTTTTATTTAGTATCAAAGTCTCATTATACATGTTCTGTTCTATGAAAAGTCATATGCAAATTACAGCAATTCAGGCAATTGTGGGATGGATAAAATCAAGTTCCACCCTACCTTTTTTTTTTTCCTATCCAAGAAGCCATTTCAGTCAGATACACATCATCATATTGAATAAATGATGATCCAAAGATTTCAGTTTCATGCTGACTAAAAATATTTGCATGATGTTACTATTAATATTATCACTCGAATGCAATGCGTATTTCATGAGTTGTCTATAGGGCTTTTGATTCCTTTAAGTTAGAATTTTTTTGCGTTGTTTTATTGTAATTCCAAGTAAAAAAAAAAATACAGTTTAAAGTTTTACCTTTTTTTGTGTAACATAAATGTAACAAAATGTCATTATATACAACATAGTCATTTTTGGCCGAGCTGCATCTTTGACTAGTGGCGCTTTATTAACAAGGCAACAGTAAAAATAAATAACAATGTCAGTTTTTTCCTACAAGTGTATTTAACAGTCTTCATTCCCTAAGCACTCTCTGACTGACGTACAGCTGCTGTCGAAAGCTCATGCATATGCATATGTCTTCAGGTACAGTGCACATGCTATTTTTAGTTAAAATGCCCTTCTTGCTGAGCTGCTCACAGTTGGTTATGTCCTAAGTGAATAAAACAGACGGAACGAAAAAAAACAACAACATTTGAACACGAACGCACAGTTGGGCCTAATGGGAAAGGCAGAGACTGCGCTCCTACTTTTATTGCAGTTTGGCTTCTCTTCTTCTGTTTATTCATCTTTTCTTGAATCCAGCTGCACCTGGTAGACTCTCTCTGGTGTGGTTTTTATTTCTCCTGTTGTAACTAATCTCTGCTATTCACGCTCTAGCCACATCACACACTATATGACTCATGGCACAGTGTGTTTTAATGTGCGGTGCTGGAGGACTCTGTTTGTGTGTGTGTTTTGTCTGTACTTGTTCAGTGAGGAGAGAAGAGGTCAGGTTTCTTTACTCAGAGGATCGGCTGGCATTGGAGGCTCCTCGTTCTGAGGCAAGACAACCAGAATTTCCCTCTTTCTTTTTCTTTTTCTTACCCCCCATCCCCATTACAACACATGTGAGAGAGGGATGCTCTATAAAGCAAACTTCTGAAGCGTTGCCAACAATCTCCAGGCAAAAAGAAAAGAGTGAGGCTGGGGGAAGGGAGGAACTGGACCTGGAAAAGAGGAAAAAGACTGAAGGCAGAGGGAAAATAACCCTGGAAGTTGCTACTGGAGAGCCACTGTTATAATGAGCCCACCAGCCCCAGTGGACTGTCCAGTAAGATTTGCTATGGGGGAGAGGCCACGGAGAAACACACACACATATGTATTTTTTATGCCATTTTTTATTTTGGTAAGGAATATTTTATGGGAAGGTTTTTTGGGCTGGACTGAAGTTGAGACTTACTGTGTATCTCCGCTAATGTAATTTAGCAAATGGCTCAGAGGAATGTTCTCTGCTGGGTGGCAACATCAATATAAATGCTGAATTCATTATGCATAATCTGCATGTGTTTCTCGTTTGGGAGTTGAAATATTAAATGCTTTATAATTGTATTGGGGAAACACTAGGCTACACTCTTTTGAATTTAGCTTAATTTAATCATCTATTTTGTGATTACACGTAATTGTATATAATTTTGGTCATTTATTTTGTAATTTATTTTTTCTTTTACAATGGTTTTATATTTTTTTTATTGATGTGAATGTTATTTTGTTGTATTTTATGTAACTATATTATTTTGTGATTTTTATATTACATATGGCAATTTAGTAATCCATTACAATATTACTATGTTTATAATTAGCAGGAAAACGCGTGTACACTTGTTTTGTTTTTTGTTCTTTGTTTTTAAATTGCTTGTGTCTATAAGAAAGTGTAGAACATTAAGGAATAGTCTTTGTTTGTTTGTTTGCTTTTCTCTTCATCAGATGTGGAGGCAGAAGGCGGTGAGCTAGACCTGAGCGGTATTGACGAAGATGAGATCGATCGGGTGAGTTTTGACCTCACTATGGTAATGACCAGGGCTTGACATTAACTTTTTTGATCACCAGCCACTGTGGCTACTAGATTTCCAACATTACTAGTTGCTCACCATTATTACTAGCCACAATTTTGTTGGGAAAATATATTTTATTTGCATAAATTTGACTTTGATATTCTAAAATGTCTTGATTTAAGTTGTGCCCTGGGGCAATTTTAACAAATAAGCAAGGTAAACACCCGCTTAGGGTCCCAGGACACCTGAGGGCCCCAGTAAATATCTAGAAGTGTAAATTATACCTATAAACTATATATAACATATATATATTTTCATATTTTGTATATGCCAGTCAAACAAATACAATTTTACACCATTAACTATCAATTAATATACAAAAAAACACAATATTGTTATAATAATGTAATGCTATGTAATTATTATATAAAATAATTATAATTAAAATAAAATAACAACCACCCCAATCATAAAGCAGTCCAGCAATCAAATTTATATATATATATATATTAAAAAAAAAAAAAAAAAAAAAAAAAAATATATATATATATATATATATATATATATATATATATATATATATATATATATATATATATATATATATATATATATATTTTTTTTTTTTTTTTATTGTAAATTTGTTTAAAAAATAATTTAAAATGTAGAGCTTGCTGCTGCTGCTTACAAAAGGATAGTTGTTTTTTTTTTAATCTGGAGCTCTTGAAAGTAGCAGGACTGTGGGTGCACAGGAATCGCTTTTTGTCCAGTCTATTTCAAAGAGAACTAGTTGCAACAGTTGTGCTTCATCACATCGCCGGGCGCATCACATCACCTGTGTACATGAGTATTCATCCTCTCATTTGATATTTATCTGCCATCTGTTGCTTGCGCGAACACAATTATTTTAGTCAGTCCTGCTGCTTCTCGATTCTAAGATCACATTTGCTTGCATATTGCATCTTTATTGTCGAACCCTGCTTTTAAGAAAACAACAATTTGAAAATAATTTTCAACCGGCCAAAGTGGCTAGTGGGAGCGTCTGTCTTGCCCGCCACAGCTGAAATATACCCGCAGTTGGCGGGTGTAAATGTCAAGCCCTGGTAATCACACCTTCGTTTGCTTTGAAAGAAAATAATGTTGTGGTAAATTTTCTAATCTTATTTGTTAATAGAATAAGTATCATTGTGCTTCTATAAAGCTGAAATCTGAGATGAATAGTTGAAAAATTTATATTGAAATGGGGTTAAATTGAGTGGAAAAGGTATATATTTTTTAGGGATTATTTATTTATTTATTATTTATTTTTTTCACTTTTTTCCATAGTATATCCTGAATGACAAAGAAGTTAAGGTGAAGACTGAACTGTGGATGATTCAAAACGCAGACTACCTCAAAGAGCAAAAAGGTGGAAGAGATCAACTAATTTACTGAAATTACTTTTGACAGATCTATTTAAACCAAGCAGACATTCCTCAATATTGAAAAACTTTTATTTAGTGTTTGTACTTCTACTTAGTAAAAACCAACTTATTTGTTTTTCTTCAGAAAAGGAAGAAAGAATAGCAAAAGAAAAGGAGGAAGGTACATATAAAGAGCGGAAGGTAACAAAGTGCTTTAGAAATACACAGATATAGCAGTGACGTTCACAAATATCGGTGCTTTACTTGTTTATTTTTATGTTGACTCACAGCCTAGAAAGTCAACACGAAGGCGTGAGCCCATCAATGCCAACACTGCAGACGAAGCCATTGAAAAGATGTTAGAACAGAAACGCATCTCCACCAAAATAAACTATGATGTTCTGAAAGACTTGAACAAATCCAGCCCAAAAAGTCCCACTCGCCAGCCTGAAGAAGCTTCAGCTGGAGCCAAAAGAACCCCCGCGGCCCGCCAACGGAAACCCCAACTGACTTCACCCGATATTGGCAAAACTGTCAGCAGCTTTGGCAAGAGGTATGGAGCTGTAAAAGAAAGGTTGCTTCTGTCTCCATTTATTTCTGTTCTCCTATCACTCCCTATACTTTTTTCGGATTTGTTTTTGCCCACACACCTTAAATCGCATATTCTGCTCTAGAAATCTTTTTGACTACATAACTTGCCATCTGTCCTAGAAAATAGACTCACAGACTAGTACCGCATCCCATCCAAACATGATGCAAAAAAAATTCTCTGCTGTTTTAAAAAGTTTTTATTCCAACTGCAGTGAGTGAAATAAGTTTCCTGTATCGACTTATGGCCCGTTTCCACTGATTAGTACAATACGGTATGCGTCAGTACGGATCACCTTTATCAGGCTTGCATTTTCACTGCTAAAAGCGAACTAATGGTTCTCTTGGTGGGCATGGTGCATGTATAATAGTTAAACATGGTAGTTTTAGCTTGCTGAAAGAATTTTGCTCCTTTGTTTTTTTCCGGCTTCTTATTTTTTTCCGCGCTTCACTCTCACGTTTGTTCATTTCTGAAAGGATCGGATGTCAGAAGTACTTCAATAATCTTGCACACGTTATTGTCATTAGCTCAAGAAGTTCACTATTTCAAATTTAGACGCAAGGCGAGCGGAAGTAAGAAAGTAAAATCACTCGCACTGTAGATGGCCTTGTAAAAAACTATGGGGCACAAGCTAGATTCTGCTCTACTTCTTTTTGGCCTTGTGGGTGTTCATCAAGATTACAAGAGGGTTTGTTTGAGATTGGGTCGACCATGGCTTGTTATTATATGTATATATAACTACAGTGCAATGTCTCTGCTGTGGATTTAAAAATGGCGCTTCCTTTGTTTTCATTCTCCTGGCTTGTTGCTTGAGTGACTGACCTATCTCTGTAAACCAATAGCGGTCAGTTGCGCGTCTTGCTCTAACTTTTGTTACTCTTTTGTTCTGCTAAATACTTTTTGCAAAGGGTACCCAAAAAGTGGTATGCTACGTTTCGCTTTTATGTACCTTTTGACAGTGAAAACAGCCATAAAAGTATGCCGAACCATATCATTCCACTCAGTGGAAGCAGGCCAATATGTTCACCCACCCGCCAAAAAGTTTAATTGGTCCCTAAAAGTCTTCAAATTTAACATCAAATATACTCTGGCTTTAATTGTCACCTTATGCAACAGTTTGGGACAGGCAGATTATTTCAAATGAGAAAATTGTTTTCACAAATTATTTTAATACAAATAAATCCTGCAAAAGCTTGTACTCTCCTCTAGTAATCCTGTTTTTGAGTGCACAGTCTGAAAACAGATCCACGCCTATTGATACGCCCTGATTTTTATCGTTTTCCCACACCCCTTTTTTGGCCTCTATCCTGTAACCACCTCAGCTCTTTTTCTCCTCTATGCTAGCTATAAACCTACAATGAGGCAGTGTCAGCGTATATTATTGTATCATGACCTCTGCTATATTTTCTTATTCTATCTTTGCGTCTTTTTTTATTACATGACCATAGCTTTGTTTTACTGGTTTACCATTTTTAACGAGGATGCATCTTAAAAAATGGAGTCTGCCTTTATTTCATAAATCATTGAAATTATAGTTTTGTTACAGAAATATTCATGCTTTTCTTGAGCTTACTAACAGCGGGGAGTCCAATAAAATTAGCCTGTTATGCTGTAAGGCTTTCTGCTTGCTGCACATTAGTCAAGCATTTTCCAGATTGCAAGATTTTGTGGTTATTCTGTCATTATTTTGCCGTTTTGGGTTAGACCAGGGACAAATTAAACTTGCTTTCAACACTAAAGTGAACTTTGGAACACTTCTCTCCTATCCACTCCCAGATATTGGAAAAATGTTTTACTTTCACACAAGGTGGTCTTGCAGGCAGTTTGAAAAAGGAGTATTTTACAAAATTTAAATGGGAAATGTTTTTTTTAATATATTTTTACAGGTCACCTGGCATATATAAAATCTACATGATCATTCTTTTTTTTTTGTGCAGTTTACAAAAAATACCACAATATCAATATTTTTTTTAACCACGTGATCATTCTTTAAAGATACAATCATGCATTTAATTGTAGAAACTGGCTCACTTGTTTTATTAGCAATGATACAAACGACCCTGTTGCATTGCACAACTCAAAAAAGGTTGATCTATTCATCCAGAACTTTACAGTTCACAGTTTCTATGTCAAAGCATGCACTATATGCAGAAATACCTTATACGTGGCCATTCTAAAGTATAAGGAGCTTTTTTTGCCATTAATATTTGGATAATGCGTACATTTGCTATGATTATTAAGCAGTATTACACTACTGTTATGTACGTTAAGTCTTCCAGCATCCGTGAGACATTTTTTAATGATTGGAATGACATTTAGAAAATATTGCTGGAGTTGCATAAATTTGTATCCATGCATATTATAATACCGCAGCTGCCTATATATTCAACAGGCAAGCTATTATTAAAGCAATCTGCTTCAAATCTAATTTCAGGTGGCTTAAGCTTTACATGGAATGGCATTTTGGGTTAGACGAAGGACAAATTAAATTTGCTTTCATCACATTGGACTACTCCTTATTCCACATAAAATGCTCCTCAGCAAATGGTAATCTGGCCTTTTTGATTTTTTTTTTCTACTTATGTTGAGGAGTTTGGACTGCCAGAGTAAGCGTTCAGTCCAAATTCTTTTAAACATCAAGACTCTCATACCTGTCAAAATTGGGATGTGAAAATAAGGGATATGCCCCCCATAATAAGGGATACCCCCTCCCCCCTTTCCCCCACCCACCAAAAATCACCAAATTACTAAATATGTTCATTTGGAGCTGTTTCATTGTAAATAAACTGTTAAATGGTCAGTAATATGTTTTAAAATTATTATTAACAAAAAAAACAAAACAATTATATATATATATATATATATATATATATATATATATATATACATTAGCAGCAAATACATTTTTTTATGCTCATTTAAGACGAAATTAGCTGTGTGATTAGTTGTGTTTCAAAAAAAATCCCCCACCAAAATCAACATCTTTATATGTTATTATTATTAATTGTGTGTGTATGTCTGTTTAAACACGCACCCAAAAGCCAGACTTTCTCTCCGCTTCAAATCGTGTGTAAAGAATCCGTTTGGGAAACAGCATCTGTTTATCATTATGGAGCACGTCAGCTGACAGTCATGCACCATTATATGACTGTTTTGAGGATTGTATAGTATTGGTGACGGCACCTGTAATCAAAAGGAAAGGGAATCGCGCCATTTTTAATATTTATTTATAGGTGTTTTCATTTCTAAACGAAGCGAAAGCACAGAACAGACTCTCATTTAAGAGCAAGGGGTGACCCCTGGTGGTTCGGCGGTATGGGTTGCGTATAGGGAGGCTCGGCTATTCAGAGAACGACTTAAAATACGGGAGAAATATGGGGAAATACTTTTACGGGATGATTGCGGGATAGAACTGCAAAATACAGGAGAATCCCGGGAAAAATGGGAGGGTTGACAGGTATGGACATTGTGTGATGATGGCGACGCTTGTGATTAATTCCAGCTGCACTGTTGAACCAATTGAACATTGCTATTCTCCTGTCCTCTCAAGCATTTGTCTTTTATGAATGACCAGCCTATTTGCTGGACTTGAATGAGTGACAGAGCTTGAAATTAACTTTTTTGCTTGGTAGCACTGGTTCTCCTAACTTTTAAAAATTTAGGAACACCAGCCAAAATTCTGTTGCACCCACCAAATTATGAGGACTGTTATTACAAGTTTTATATTAAAAGATTTATTGCATATAAAATCAACACTAATCAAAACTAACAAACAAAAAACACATGCACGTGGCACGTAGTCTGAAGGCCTAATGTTGCTTGAGTGATTGACTGCTGTCCGCTGATGTATCGTGGGAGAGCTATGATGTCAATTTGTATGCAAAAACCCAGAAGCGAGTTAGCATTTTAGCAGTTCCAGCATTGCGGGATTTGTTTACTGCAGCAAGTTGACATGACAATTGTTTAAAACCATTCCTGAGGCCTGCGTTTTGCGTTTCAGGTGCAAAGATGGGTTCAGCGGTGAAAGTTTTGCAGTAAAAACTGGTTGCACGGCAACAATTTTATGAGCTCACACAAATGCTGCCAAATATATTTTGAGGTTGCATAGATAAAATTTCTGGCGCATATGCAACCAAAACTTATTTAGAGCCCTTTGTGACATTATAAAGATTTACAACGACCAGCTTCTCTTGCTGTGGCTGAAAGTTTTGTCTTTTGGGCCTTCATCTGGACAACCTGCTGTCCTTTAGTAACTTTAGAATGACTAGACATATTTACAAGTTCAACGAAAACTGGAAAGTGGAAAGAGCTTTTCTATAGGGGAATTACCAACCTACGTCACACATGATGTCACATGGGTTCAGCCGAGCATACTGGTTGCAAAAAAAGACGGGTTGTATTGGCAAACATGTCGTGTTATGCAGTATAATGCTAAAATTGAAAGTCTTAAATGGAAAACTTAAATTTTACTGTACACCACACTGCTTTTAATACTAACGGCAGACGCCTTTGGCTAACAGCCATCATAAGAGCTGAATGGAGTGAGGACTTAATTAAAAATGCTTGACTCAGTTCTCATTTCATATCAGGTAAGTTCACGGTATGCAGAGTCATACACATTATTTGTTTTTGATTGCAGCAATGATTTCAGCAAAAACAGTTAAATATGGTTAATTAATCTACGGACACTGAACTCTAAGAATGAAATGTAAAAATGTAAGTTCTAATACCCTGCCATACAGGTGCAGTTCACTGTCAGAATGCAGTTGTTCTGCTTGTTGATGATACCCAGGCCTTGTACAGTTCAGTCTTCTTTCCTTGTCTTTGGCTCGGCAGAACCTCAGTTTATAGCACTACATTGTTTTGAATCTGGTAATCATAGAACAATATTTCTTGCACATGACCACATAGAACAAAATTGTTGGCATCCAAAGACTTGTAGGCCTTTAACTTCTCTCTTGTAA